CACTGTTGGTCCTAGTTGGTAGCCCCCCCCCCCCCCCGTTTTTTTTTTTTTTTTTTTCTTACGGTCTTTTTGTTTTAAAAAAAAATTTTTTTTTATTATTTTTAAATTTTCTATAGGGCACATGTGCTCACCAGAGAAAAAGAGAAAGTAAAAAAGCAAGCCTCCAAGTCTGGGACTTGAACTGCTGTCAGACGTTTGGGAATCTAGCACCTTAACCACTGTCACCTGCTGGTCCCTTGAAGTCTTATTTTATCCATTTTGACATATTAAAATTTTTAAAGGAAAGGCATGGCCTCCACACCACAAAGTGCTTGAGATGCCACTGAAAGTTTCCATTTTCTTATTGACGTAGAGGTGAGGTGTCAGTCTCAGCTTTCATAGTGTAGACTCGATGTAACTACAGGTTACTTTTGGGGTCTGCAGAGCTAGATACAGTTGTTGGGATAGAATGAAACAGTATCAGTCAAGTAAGGTTGTTAGAGTCCTTGGTATCAAAAGGTCAAAAAACATCCTAAGAGTTCCCCTAGTTAAGATTCTACCATGACTTTTATACTCTGAAAGTATTATGTGCTTGGACTTATTTTTGCTGAAAAAAATAATCCATAGTTTTTGCTAATATTTTTGCTAGATGAATTTTATAAAACAATGAATTGAATACTCTTAAGTAAAAAAGTTAAAGTATTTTCATAAAGTATTGTGATTAACTGTAAAAACATACTTGAAAGTTCTAGTTAGGCAGTTTATAAAAACTTTACTAGAATTGGCAGTACTTATTCTGGATCAGAAATGATGTCCTGGAGGAAATTTTGTGTAGTGGAAGAGGTGGAAAGGGGGAGGAGATCTGTGTAGAGTAGGATTGATATTTCTCTCTCTCCCTCCTTCCCCTCCTCCCCCTTTTAATGACAACGTTATATGTGTGCACCTGCGTTATGACCGACAACTTAGGGCAGTAGGCAAGGTGTTACTTATCACTGTGTGTTTCGAGGGTCTGTGGATTCACCTTTTGACTCCAGTTACTCTGTGAGCTCTAGCTAACTAATTATTTCCCATGAATTCAAGTACCATGACTGTTTTGTGCATCTATTAAATCTCCCATCGAGTTCAAATTTCACATACCCTTAAACAAGTGATGCATATTGTGCTCTGCCCTTACAGAGCATGTGAACTGCAAAGCGAGCAGTGTGAAAGAGCGAGATCCAGCCAGCACATCGGTAGCCTGCCTTTTGCTGTTGAACTTTAAACATAGTAAACTTTCAAATAAGCTAAGATCAGATCACACTTAAGTAATTACACGAAATATGCATGCTTTGGACTGAGCATCAGTCATGTTTTGGTTACAAAACCGAAACATGAGGTATATTCTGACAATATAACGAGTGGATCTCTTTACCTCTGGTTGCTAAGCTCTGTGCTCTAGAGACCACCATTTACAAGTTTTATGTAGCCCTTCAGTACTGTTTTATGCATGCACACATATATATAAAATTCCATGGTCATGTTTAACTGGTATCTTTTAGGGAGCTGGGGAATATTTTAACATATGGCAGGTACGAATTAGATCATTACACTGTTATCATCCCTTGCTGTACAGAAGCCAGGAAAGTCAGTGTTGATTCTGGAAGCGGCCATGGCTTAAGCTCCATATACAGTAATCCAGGGAGCAGGGTGCAGTGCATCCTGGGATATAAAGAGTTAAAGTTGCCGTGGGAACCAGAACTGCACTTTCTGCCTGTTGTGGAGAGAAAGTGCAACCAAGCATCCTTTTTCTAAAAAAACAAGTCTTTCTTCTTTTGCCTTCAGCATCTGGATCTTTTCTCCTTACTTCTGTGTGGGTTATTCAACTGCTGTCGAAAAGTTTGGCTCTTAGGTCTTATAACAGTAGGTCATAATAAGTTTTATCGGTATCATTCAGGTAGTTGATATTAAGATTGTAGCTGAGGATTTGCCTTTTATTAAACAGCTCCTTTAACTTGATAATCATTGTAAATGGAAACTTAGCAGACAGGGTCTTGATATTGCAGGAAGGTAGCTTTCCCTCTTTCTAAAAAAAAAAAAAATAAGATTAAGGAAAATAGGACTTGTAAAACTAATTTGATCAAACTTTATGGAACTCCTAAAATTAACACTGAGACCAGATAGATTCCAAGCTCCTCATAAACTTTAGGAATGAATAGTGAGTAAATGAAGCTTTTAAACCTAACTTTTATCCTTTGTGTGTGTGTAAGTAGAATAATTGATAAATTAAGGATATTGCATTTTATCCTAATGAGTTTGTATTTAACTGGGAACAAATAGCAATTTTTCTTCCTGGACAATCTTTGCAAAGTAGGTTCTGAATGTGTCAGGGGATAGCTCACTCCGGTGACTTCACTGTGGTATTTGTGTACCCTGAGGGGACACTATTTTGGTTTGTCTCACAAAGGCCTGATTTACATTATGCAGGTTTCAACTTGAGAAGTTAGGAGCTCTTTTTTAATGGCCAGCCCTTGTTGAACACAGTTTTATAAAGTTGCCCTGGGCTCTTTTCCTGTTCTACAGTTTACTGCTTTTTCTGCAAATTCCTTCTCCACTTTTCTAAGGCATTCAGAAAACACGTACACCTTAGACGAGAGAAGTTGAAGTATAGCGTCCCCCTTATCCCATCAGTTTGTTGCTGGTCATGTCCGTGAGAGGAATAAAGTTTGATGGATTCAATTCCAAATCCTTTTAGGAAGATGAGCATGCTTTTGCTACGCACTCTCCCCTCCATGCATGTGTTCTCATGTTACTTCCAGGGATTCTTCAAACATTTTTAACATACCTGTGAAATACATGTCACTGCACCTGAGAGCAAGGCACAGGAGATTGAGGGCCCACACCCAGCCTCTGTGGCACAGTTTCCTGAGTACTATAAGGCTGAGAGCTATAAAGCTGGAAGCCACATACTGACTGTGGTTCGAGTCCTTGGCCTGGTTGGCCTAAAAACATTCCAGGCACATGCCTGGGATCCTGATGGGCTGGAGACTGGAAAAAGGGATTACAGC